TCGGGGGTCCTTCCTGCAGCGGCCCCCAGCCCTAGGCCTGCCCCGAGGCAGGGACTTCCTCAAAGACCTGCCCTGGGGGAGTGGGGAGGTCCTCTGGCCCCTGAGGTAGGACAGGCTTTCTTCCCCCATCTTACAATATGGCAATGGAGACCCAGAGAGGTGAACTGACTCTCCCCGGGTTGCACAGCTGGGCCCTGAATGGTGCTGCTTCCCCTCAAACGGGAGCCACTGGCACAGAGCCCACCTCTCACAGGCCTGCTGGGCATCGCTGACACCTGCCCAGCTTTCCTCCCGGGGCACTTACCTCCTAAAGAATGGGAAGGCGACACGGACAAAGCTGGGGCTCGAGCCCAGGCTACTCGCTCAGCTGTGCGCCTGTCAGACACCCAAGGCTCGATATTGCTAATAGAAATCATAGCAGCCACCCACTTAGTGCCAGTCCCTGAGGGGTGTCCTCTCACAGGACTTGATTTGATAACCACAGTCCTTCTGCCAGGTTGGTGCTAAGGTCCCCATCAAAAAAGGGCAAGGCGGTGGTGGTGGTGGTGGTGGTGGTGAGGGGGTGAGTAGCGGAGAACTCCTGCAGCTCCCCCAGGGCCACGGGGCTGGAATCTGAACCTAGGTCCGCCTGGCTTCAGAAGGTGCTCTCTCCACAGGGCTGAGCAACCCTCATGTGGGCTCGGCCTCGGAGGAGCCAGAAAAAGTTTGTTCTTAAGAGGAAGCCCCGCTGACTTACCTTTTGATGCCAGATCAGCTCAGTCTAGAACCCCTTCCACACCTCACGTCTCATAAAGATATGCCCTTAGGGTAGACTCTGTGCTCACATTCCAGCTACTCCACCTCCCGGGAAGAAAAGACTGACCCGCCACACCCACTGCCTCACCTGTCTTTTATCCTCCTGAGGCCCTCTCTCCCAGGAACTTGAGTTAATGACAGTCGTTTGCGCCCTTAGACATTAGGTAGCAGCTGATACAAATGATCCCTGCAGCAGTGGAGAAATCCCCAACCCATGGCCTTGTGGCCGGAGAAGGTGGGTCTGAAATGCAGAGCGGGGAAGGGCATTCTGCCCCTGGGGAGAGGAGGAAGCACCAACGCAGGGGCTGGCGAACATGACAACAGCTACTGACTACAGTTTGAAGCTGAGTCATGGACACCTCTCTTCCCAGCACCATCAGCACCTTTGAGCCCACCCTTCTGGTGATTGACAGCACTCCTGCTGAGGTGGCAGGTGCTTTGACTTTGGAAAGAATTGACTGATGGTTCCCACCTTTGAGCTGAGTGATCTTGGGCAAGTCATTTAACTTGGATGAGCCCGTTTTCTTACCTGTAAAGAGGAGTTATACTCTTTCTCCTAGGGCTGTTGTGAGGATTGAGAAAATATTTGCAAAATCCCCTAATTATACGGGTTTTTTGCATTTTAAAATGTTTTTATATATGCGTTTAGCCCAGAGAGGAAGATGAATATGTGTGTATGCAAGAGTGTATGCAATTTCCAATTTCCTCACGAATCCAATGCTATACTTTTTGAAAGGAGGCGCCCAATTTTTCCCTCCCTCCTTCCCCAGGGCTCGGCAGTGTTGAGTGCCAGGTAGGAATCCAACAATCGCTTAAGCTGAATCAGAACCTGCAGGTGCTGTGTTCCCAGCTGCTTCCTTCCGCCAGAGCATCACAGAAGTCTCCGAATTGTGGAAGGTTGTCAAAGTATAAAAAGATTTCTGTGTGGGGCCTGATTGTACGTCAGCCTCAGAAGGAACACGGTGACCGTACTGATTTCTTTAAAAAAAAAAAAAGATTTTATTGATTTTTCACAGAGAGGAAGGGAGAGGGACAGAGAGTCAGAAACATCAATGGATGAGAAACATTGATCAGCTGCTTCCTGCACATTCCGCAACCAAGGTACATGCCCTTTGACCGGAATTGAACCTGGGACCCTTCAGTCCATAGGCTGATGCTCTATCCGCTGAGCCAAACCGGTTAGGGCCATACTGATTTCTTAAAATGGTCTGTTTTATATCTCGTTACTGTGCTGGTGCAATGGCTTTGTGGAGAACTGGGCTTTATCTGGGAGTCCTGGGGAGTCTGCAGTCCAGGTGCATCTGAAATGATTATATGTAAGACTACTTTAGCAGACATCTCAAAGAAATGCACAGGCTTCATTAAAAGTTTGCGTGGGAAATAAATGTATACCTAAAACGAAGCAATTGAGCCCTGGCCAGGGTGTCTCCGTGAGTAAAGCGCTGGTTCTCACACTGAAGGGCCGCAGGCTTGATTCCCACCAAGGGTTAAGGGCACATACCTAGGTTGTAGTTCAATCGATGTGTCTCTCTCCCCTCTCTCCTCCCACTCTAAATGTCAATGGAAAAAATATCCCAGGTGAGGCTTAACAAAAAATAAAAATAAAACCAAGCAATTGAGGCATCCATGATTTTTGATTCACCCAACGGGCCACTAGTCCAGAAATAGTCGAGGGTTTTTACTTAAGAATCCAAGTGACATAATATCACATTCATCCCACAACGGAAATGAACTTCTACTTGTCGGATCCCCAGACAGGCTGAAACTCAACAGCACTCTGGGCTTGGATGCCAGTCTTCTGTGTATTTCAGAAAACCAGAGCCCCTGCTTTGTTGTTGTAATCCTCACCAAAGGCTATTTTTCCATCGATCTTTTAGAGTGGGAGAGGGAAAGACAGAAACATTGATATGAGGGAAACACATCGATTGGTTGCCTTCTGCACGCGTACTGACCAGGGCTTGGGCTGGGGAGGAGCCAGCAACCACGGTACATGCCCTCGACAGGAATCGCACCCAGGACCCTTTGGTTTGCAGGCAGACGCTCTACCCATTGAGCCAAACCAGCTAAGGCAAAGCCCCTGCTTTGAGTGCCAACAGCAGACTCAGCCCTACACCTGAGGGTGAGTGAAGACCAGCAGATGGAGGAAGGAAAAGGGCCAAGGAATCATTTCTCTGGTGACATGCAAATGCTGAGATGGCTGATGTAACATTCAGAGTCATCATCCTGCTCTTTTCCATTTCATTTCATGAGCAGAAACTGTGGCATGGGCTTAATCAGAGGATTGGATGAAAAATAAATGTCTTCCTAAAATGTAATCAAATTATGGTGATTTTCACCAACAGGTGAGCTGTGGTTAACTGCACACTGCGAGGAAACTGGAAAGCGGATGTGAAAATACCAGAAGTGCTCAGAAGCTGATACATGCTGCAGTCAGGCATGAAAAACCTCAGTGACCTGTTACAAGACATGCCTACAATGTGGAAGTCCAGACAGTCTACTCTCCATCTTTTAAAACCCGCGATGCATTCCGATTCTACCTTCTACATCTTGCCTCTGGCTAGGAGTAGGTTGAGCTTCACTTTCTCCAACTTGTATTGTGAAAATGCCAGTAACGGGCCTTTTCAAAATATCCTTCCCCCCCACCCTCCAACCCTACACCCCCAATCTTTTCTTCCATCATAAAGCACAATTTATCATAGCTAAGGACAAAAACATACCCTCCTTTTCAGCAGAAAAGTTCAAGGGGTAAAGAATGTCCAGAAGTTTGTCACCAAACCCACTGCCAACTACTAAATGCAACATCTTTTGAGGTATCATATGGCAGAGAAGCCAGAGATGAGATTTGTATGACCAAACAGAGAAGCCGTTATACAAATACCACTTGGGGTAAAATGTAAAAATATTACTTTTTTCCCCATTGGAGACCCTAGCCAGCAAAGGGCCTAAGGCAGCAGTTCTCAACCTGTGGGTCCCAACCCCTTTGGGGGTCGAACGACCCCTTCACAGGGGTCGCCTAAGACCATCAGAAAACACATATATAATTACATATTGTTTTTGTGATTAATCACTAAGCTTTCATTATGTTCAATTTGTAACAATGAAATTGGGGGTCACCACAACATGAGGAACTGTTTAAGGGTCGCGGCATTAGGAAGGTTGAGAACCACTGGCCTAAGGTATTAGTGGTGTTTCAAGTTAATAATGATTAACTAAGCAAATTAAGATAATTTGGCTTGCAAATGAAGATAATGTAAACTCTGAAAATTTAGGAGCACTGAACTTAAGGATCAGAATATGGAAACCAGTGGCAATGGGAGAGGGCAAATATGTTAGTGACTGAATTACCAGTTTTCCTAAAGCTGGGGCTGGAAGCCATGCTTTTGGGTATGGAATTTTAGGCAACAAGTTTAATTGACAAATCAAATTCCTTGCGTAGGTGATAATGACTGTGAGTGCAAAGATGTTCCTCCAAGTCAGAAACCAGTCCCTGCATAATGTTGTTCACTGTGCACAACAGACCTTGCTTCAGATTTCAGGAATGGATTAGGAGCTCCAAGACTCATTATTTAGAGAATACTTTATTAGTTTCTGTAATCAAACCCATGTAGATTAAGACCATACATATTTAATACAGTGCGTTGCCCCTGTACAAATGGAAAAAATTATGTTGAACGTTTCTAGACCAATATGGCTGTTAATTTCTGTACAATGCCAACCCAACACAGTACAACTGGGATAGTTTTTCCAAAGTTGACAGCATAGCTAAAGTTTCCAAAAATTCAAATTATATATATATGTATATATATATATTTATTTATTTATATAAAAAGACCAATAGCAGTATGTTACGCATCAATAGCAGCAACAGCTTTTCCAGGTTCTGCAGTCATCTGAACAAAATTATAGACATCCAGCACACTCCAATAAAAAAAAAAAGTAAAAAACAAATCTCCAGAAAACAGCAAAGTTCTGTCACTGTTGTGATACCTGGCACCATTTTTTTTTAAGCTTCTCCATCATCATCTGGAAAGAAAACAGTCTAGGATAACGTCATTAAAAACAGCTCTGATAAAGCGCGGTCACTACTTACGTATCATAAAGCAGGTATAAGGTATTTTACATTCACAGAGGTACGATATGGTACTGCCCTACGTCTATAATACTAGAGATACAATTAAAAAGGCGTTGTTTGAGACTTGATTCTGTTTCCCACCAGAGGCCCCAAGGGTGGGACGGCAGCTCTGGGAAGACGCACCTTCTCAGACAGGTTTTCCTCTCATTAGTGGCACAGTTCTAGGTACTGACTGCCCTTCATGAATATCACCTAAAAACCGTTTCAGAAAGACCAAAACGAACAAACAAAAACAATAATCCCCCCCGCACGCACCTCATTGGATTCATATAAAGATGACCAAGTGGAGGCAGGCAAGACTCGCCCCAACCAATATTTACCCGCTGTGTGAATATTGTGTGAGTGATCAGCACTCCACAGGAGAAGCCCAGCAACACTTCACAGCTTGGGCCACGACCAAAGCAAAGCATCATTTCAAAAAGAAGCAGTAGCCGGGCACTGCTCACCCAGCATGTTCAGGTGCCGACACCACTATTTCACCACCGTTGCTCGCTCATCCAGGAAGAAGGGAGATCAGTTACTATACTTTGTGTTCAACTCAATTACCATGTTATAAAAGCAGCAGGCTGCCCGGGGCAGACGTAGGCTTCTCTGTGCAGCCCTAGTTCTTCAGCTCCTCATCACTGTGCCCACCAATGCCACCACCACATCCACAGGCTGGAAGGGAGAGTCACAGCTGTTACCAGCTGGGACCAGGTGCTATTTGGGCTGGGCTACTCCTCTGCAGTGTTACTTTCTTGATTTCTGGTGTCTTATTCTAACCATAAGGACTGAGTTCTAAGTGGTACATACTCCAAGAACGTGTGCACGTGTTTGTATGTAAATCCAAACTGAGATGCATGGCCATCAACAGGGTGTGTTGTGTAGCGGGTGTGAGCTGGCAAAGCCTCGTTGTACGTGTGTGGCCTGTGTCAGTGTGAATGGCTCCTATATCCCCCATGCACCTCCGAGCTCGGGATAGGATAGTGTCACAGACCATTTTACCCCTTCGGCTGCTGGCATGAGCTGTCTGCATCCTTCCTTCTTCCCCTCTCCCCTCCCCAGGCGCCTGCAATAAACCACAGCCTTTTAAGATTTTGTTTCTTCGGTTTTGATGGCCTGAGGTTTGATGGGTCCAGTCCGAACAGGTTTGGTGGCCATGGTGGGTGCAGGAGGAGGCTTTTCTTCTACTTTCTCCTGACAGACACCAGGAGCATCAGTCAGTGCTTCAGGAGGTTTGCTGGAGTCGCCGTCCACCTTCGGGGCCTTGCCCCCTATCTGTTTGCTCTGTTGTTGTTCAGAGAAGAAGCGCTGCGTGGACTGAAGAACCTCTGCTCTCTGCTTTGCCTTAAAGAATGAGAAACAACAACTGAAGATGCTGCAGCATCACCAAAGCCTGTCAATCACTCTCAGTTTGAATTCTTTCACCAATCACCAATAGCTTTCCCACGCTGGTTTGGCCCAAACCAAAAGTACCTCATTGATTTTTCAGCATTTAATGGATAGAGTTCTTCCTATCTCTGAAAACATTCAGTGATTTTTCCTTTAATATTTGAAAAAATCAGGACCACCTCCCACCACTTTTTCAAAGTTTGCCCTCTTATAAAGCAACAAAATAGAAATTGCTGTTACTTTGTATTTTTTCTGGGACAAACCTTACTGATACCATATGTTATCTAGGGAGCCTGCTTGTGAACTTGAAAACATATATGTTACACTTAAAACTTCTAGTTATCAGCATGTGGTCTATAATAAAATGAAAAGGAAGCACTTATATTGTGGCATTACCAACACCTAGGACCAAATGTCTTGTGGCTGAGTCCTCTTCCCACAGCTCTCTTCTGCAGGGGAAGAGCATCAGAAATTAGTAACTAGGACTTCACTGCATCACTAAGTTCTGATAGCTCCCACCACACTCTGAGCTGGTAAAGTAATTGCCTCATTTTAATGACTACATGCCCCAAGTTTATACTTACGTAGACCTATAAATTATACCACTGTAACACGGGTTTCTACACCTCTTGCATATAAAAAATCCCACATGTTCTGTACTATCCAAAAATCTGAAACAATTTTCAGGAAATCTGTGCCCTCCTCCACCCTATTATTAAGCTCCAATGCCATTCCCAATGTGGGAATTTACAAGAAATCAACTGCCGAGGAGCCAGGAACAAAACTGGAAACCAAGGCCAAACAGTGCCCAGAGATTTCTACACAGACCGGTATCTGTCAGTTACGAAGAGAGGGAGACTCTGGGGGCACAGCCTTAGTAAAGGAGGGGACGTTGACCAGGTTCACTGCAGGGCAGTCTTTAAATGCGCTTACTCGGGATCAGAAACAAGGGCTATCCGTGTGGAAAGAAACTCCAGCCAGTCAACCAAATTCTCTAGGATTATCATAAACACGTTTCTAATCCCGAGTAAAACCCAACCACGGCCATTTCCGTTTGGAAGCAGTAAGCTTTTCTTTGTTCTAGTCTGACCGGATACAGACTGGTGACATAATAGGCAAAATTATGAAGACCTCTAAAGTCAAGACTAAGTAAACACAGACATAAACGACTCAGCTGGCTGTACAGGCAGACAGGTAAGGGTTATGCTACAAAACCGTCCCCACACAGGCTCCTCAAAGCACGTCTGCATCAGCACACCTCACGGTCACCAGTGCCTTGTATTGCGAAGGATCCCAAAGTGCTTTTGTGAGTTCTTCATCTACAACTACACAGCTACACAAACTGCTGTGGAACGAGCCACTGCAGGTGGCAGGCAAAGGAGTATGAAAACAGTTCAAGAAAATTGGACTTGGATGACTCAGGGAAGAAAAATCAAGCCAGACATCATGTCTTACCCATTCCAGAGTTTTCTCTGAAGCATGATTTATATCTTAACTTTGGGAAGGGGAGATTGGGGGAGGAAAACAAAAAAAATAAACGGAAGAAAATGGGGAAGCCTATAACAGTCCATATTACTTTTTTTACTCTTCCAAAAAAATGTAGCAGCTAGACTCAGATCTCCCTCAAATATTTATTTTATAAGCAATTCATTTGGCCACAGAATTTAAAATATTAACTTGTTTGTTGACAATAGTTGCAAAAGAAAAAGAAAAAAAAAACAGGTGGGGGGAATAGGGAGAAAAATAAAATAAGTAATAATAATAAAAATAATAAAAAAAAAAGGAACAAATAAAAGCAATTAGCTTGGTGAAGTCTGCTGAGACAATGAATGCCTGGATATGCAGTTATGGGTCCAGAGCATCGTAAGACATGGTTCAGAGACAGACGGTTGCTCTGGCGGCTGCCAACACTGTACTAACCTTCATGTCTTGTTCAGCCTTCAGCGCAGCCTGGGCCTGATTGCCTCTGACTCCAGACAGTGATCCACAAGGACCCCTGGCTACATGTGGCAAACGAGCATGGCTCATGAGGCCTGTGGTCAGCGGAGGAGGCATCTGACTGGCCAGTGCCATTGGCGGCCTCTGAACGGGCGCTGGGAAGGTGTTAGTATGTGGGGCTCTTACCAATGGAGGGACCAGGTTAGGCTGAGAGAGAATCTGAGTGAAAAAACAAAACATACAACATTAAACTGTTAAAAAATTTTATTTTGCCAACTAGACCAGGTTGGCTTATCCCAGAGTCAATGTCACCAATTCCGCCATGACCGCCATGAAAGGGTGTACGGATCTGTGCGCTCTAGCACCGGGTAAGAACCGCAGGCCATGCTGGGAGTCTACGGGAAGACAGTGCAGCATGCCAGTGCCCAGCTACAGATTCTGAGCGGGGACAGGGAGGCTATTACTCGGGACTCCTTTTTTAAAAGATATAATTGCAGAAAAGGTACACACCTACTCCACAGATAATCTAAAGCTAAATAAAAAATAATGCTATTTGGCAAATATCTCAGGTGCCAATTCTAACTTGTGAGTGTTCTTATCAACTTTAGTCCTTCCATCTGATCAGCAAGGGAAGAGAAGCCAACATTTTAATACATAGATTAGAATCTCTTTTGGAAAATTTACCTCACCTATAGTTATCTTAAAAAGAGAAGTGAACAACAACAACAAAACAAACCCCCAAAACAAACAAAAAACCCTAGGAAACTTTAAGCACTGGGACCCTTCTCTGAAAAGTCAACTTCTTCAACAAGATAAAATGAACAGGACTGAAATAAAAGGATCAGAGCTGTGTGGGGAATCTTTCAACTATTTCTATTGTCTGCTTTCAAACTATATAGCTACCTGTGTCTAGCTAAAACTCCTAGAGTCTATACCTGAATGTTATAGATTTACTGTTCAATAAGAAACTGCTTCTCATTAAAATCTGTGCTTCTGAACTGGTTATAATAGGGCAAGACTATAAAATCAGAGAATTCGCCAGGTTAGCAAGCATTTGCAAGTAAATCATACTCATTTCTCACTTGTATCTGCCCACCTGGGGTGCAAACTGTGTAGGAAAAGGCTGTGTCATTCTCACAGTGGCAGGGGCTGACGGGAACTGCTTCTGATAGACAATGCTGCTCATTTTGCTGGACTGGCTGTTCGGACTTGTGGAAGTGGCCCTTGGAAAGAAGTCGTCACTGGTCAGTATGGCAGTGCCGGGTTAATGATGCTATTCGATTTGTAGACAGTGTGCTTGGCAGACTCATCATACTTGGTAATTGATGAGAATTACCAAGGTGAGTTACCAAACATCACAGCAGTGGAAAGACATTGGAGGAGCAGAGGTGAGAAAGGATACTGGCTATATTTGCCCTGTATTACAAAGTTCTTCAATTACAGTATAACAAATATATTCTTAATATTTCAATAGCTTAATATTTCACATAAAACTATCAGAACGTCTGTGCTTACCACAGGACTGGCGACACTGTATGCATCTAACAAACAAAAGGTAACCAGTTATTGGGAATTCTATAGCAAATGCAAATGCCCACTTTACCGGAAGGGACTAGAGGTGGGTGTGGTGCTTCTTCCGCTGATTGGAGGTGTGCCTGGTTTTATATCAATGCCGCTTCCAAAGGCTTTTAGTTCCATTTCAGACATCTGAGAAAGAGCATAAAATAAACCTAACATTTCTGCAACCCCATAAGCTAACCTGCTGTGTTTAGTATTCTATATATGAAGACTTAATCTAGCAAAGGGCAAAGAACCTCAGTACCAAAATCCTATAGTTTTCAAGTACCATGGAATTAACAAGGCCAGATTTGTGGCTGAAAAGTCCAAAAGGCAGTATAAATCCATTTTTCCCACAACATCTGTGAATTCTTTGTTATGAGGTAAAACACAGAGGGGGCCAAACACATTAGATTCTCAAAGAAACTGTCCATTTCTCTTCACTTACTTTCCCCGTGGTTGGGATCATGCTGTGCTGGGTTCCAGCAGGGATTAATCCCCTGAAAGGCTGGCTGACTTGTGCAGGGCGACTCAAGCTCTGGGCCTGTGCCTGGGGGGCAGCGTGCTGTAACGGAGGCTGAAGAGTCTGAGGCAGAGCAATTAAAGGCTGTCCCGTGGATCCAAAGTTAGGCAAGGAAAGCTGGGATGCTGGTAAAGGTACTGTAACCTAGGACATAAACAAACAGAAATTGTAGCAATTTGCTTATACAGAGCCTGTACGTATATCCCTATAACTATAATACAACTCTTCAAATTCTTTTGAATAAGATTTTAAACAGAAAACATCAATATATTAAGCACATTTCACATATAAATCTTTTGCTTAGTAACTATCTCCATTCTTTTTTTAAAGATGCAACAGTATGCCCTGGCCGGGTGGCTCAGTTGGTTGGAGCATCATCCCATACACCAAAAAGTTGTGCGATCTGGAACATGCCAGATAGGGGCATGTACAAGATCTGCCTTCCTCTCCTTAAAAATCAATAAACACATAGTTGGTGAGGATTAAAAAAAGAAAAGTGTAACAGTGTAACAAATTAGCATCGGAGAAACTAACTGAAATAACTATCTTTTAATTAATCTACAGTACATGTCAAACAAAGAAAAAATACAATAAAATCATGGGATTCAATGTAAGAAAGTAGTTACAACTTCCCAAATAGTAATTCATTTTGAATGTCAATAGATAATATACAGGAATGAGTTATCACCCCTAAAACAGCCACCAAAAATAGTTAGGAGAAGATGACTGAGGCTTGCTTCTCTCACCCAGCCCTCCACCAACTTTTAAAGAGTAAGCTGATTAATGAATTGCCAGGAGAGTTTTAAAAATTTATACTTTTCACTGAAAATTATAATTACAATCATACACGTAAGGAATATGTTTGTCATGTACCTTCTGCTGCACTACCCTGGGTGTTACAGTGACCACTATGATGGTCTTTAATCTTCCTTCATCTCTAGCACGAAGTAAAGCACCTATCACTTACACGTAATTGCATATCCCTAACAATAGCCTTCAAATGTTTACATTCATGGACTCCTTTGTTAAAATAAGCAAGTACATGGAAACCCATTAAAAAAAAAAGGATAAAAAGTGGGTGAAAGACGGGTATTGTGGGACCAACCAGTGGACCCCCTGGAATTCCTAGGACACCAGAGAAAGTCTGAAGACTATCACACATCTCCCTATCTTGGTTCTGGTGAAATTCCCAAACAACAGAAGCAGCAGCAACAACAACAACAATAATAATGATAAAGAAAATTGAGGAAATTTACCATGCCATAGTTTACCTGCTGGAGAGTACTCGGTGACTGGGCAGTGTTATAAAAATTTGTCTGACCAGGCTGTTGTACTTGTCCAGAATAAAGATTTGAAGCCTGGGTAAGATTTGCTCTAGCCTAGAAAAAATTTAGTAAGAAAACAACAATAAGATTTTTAAAAATTTCCAATTCAGATACCAAGGTTATGGCTTCAAAGAAATCTGGAAGAATTTTAGTGTCAGATCAAAATGAAGACCTTAGTTTTCCATTGTCTTTTAACATTTTTTCTTTAAAAACTGTCCTTAAATCACCTGCTGCATAAGACTGCAACGACAGACAGTGCATGCTCTCGCTCATGCCGTAATTACCTGGAGAAGATGTGTATCGATCAGCTGGGAGCCTCCCAGTCCCGATGCCTGACCCAGCTGATGTTCATACAGTATAGGAATTGGCTGAGTACTGGAAGTTTGTTGAAACGCAAGACCCGACTGCGCCTTGGCAAGTTCCTGGTGCTGGACAGCTGGGAAATTGTGGATGGCAGTACCAGAAAGGACCACAGATGGCTGGGACAGGCTGCTCTGCATAAAGGCCGGCTGAGATCTACATCAATATTGAAGAGAAAAGGATGTGTTAAAAGTTAATTCACCTGGAATCTGGCAACCTGAAGACTCAGTAGCCTAAATGTCCAAGTACTCTACTTAGCGTAAGAAAGGAGGCAGTGACCACAGACCTTGTCTAAGGTACCTGTTTCAAGCCTTAGCACCCACTATATAAAAATTCTGGAAAAAAGCTTCTTCCCAGAAACCAGCAAGATTTTTTCCTTTTGAACAATGAGAATGATTCTCTTTTCATCTGTTTATTAGCAAGCTCAGAACCAAACCTACCTACCGTCTTCTCTTTGGTACTGACATTCCATTTAATTTACAGCACCAATAGCTCTGACTTGCATCATCTGTATTTCATTATTTCCCCTCCTATATTTCTTATAAGAGGCCTCAAGATCTCTATAGAATGAAGCCGAGTACTAGTTCACATTAGGATTATTCAGAAGTATTTTCTTTCTTTAAATTGAGGTGTAATAGACATATATACCTATATAAAGGTAATAATTTGGTATTTGCATATATTGCAAAATGATCAACATAGCAAGTCTAGTCAACACTAGTCACCATAGCTACAAATTTTTTGATGAGAACTTTTAAGATTTACTCTTTTAGCATCTTTAAAATATGCAACACCAATATTATGGTCAAAGGGTGCAAATTTCTAGTTATAAAATAAGTTACTAGGCTGAAATGTACTCCATGGAAACTATTTGAAAATTAAAAACAAAACAACCCCCTCCCCGCCAATGCTGAAATCTGACTTGGGGTGATGAACACACAATATAGTGTCCAGATGTGTTGTGGAAGTGTGCACCTGAAACTTGCATAATTTTGTTAACCAGTATCACCCCAATAAAAACACTAAGAATAAAAAATAAAATACAATGCTGAAATCTAACTTAAGACCTCTGGGATAGAGGCCTCCAATCTATACTTTACAAAAGGCTAAGATAAAGAGCAAATAACTAAAGTCAAAGTAGTGGATTAAAGATAATATTATCAATTATTACATATCTATCTATATAAAAGCCTAAGTGACAGTTACAACCAGACGACCAGCCAGTAGCTATGATGTGCACGGACCACCAGGGGGCAGATGCTCAATGCAGGAGCTGCCCCCTGGTGGTTAGTGCGCTCCCACAGCTAACCTCCTGCAGTCCCTTCCCCCGGCCAGCCAAGCCTGCCCCGACTGGGACTGGGAAAGAGGGCCCTGATTGGCTCTGGTCACCAGCCAGGCTGAGGGACCCCACCAGTGCATGAATTTGTGCACTGGGCCTCTAGTATTATAATATAATTTTACTCTGTTAAACTGACATGTGGCAGGGACAAAAGCTACCGAGCAGGAGTGCTAGTCTAGAGTCCTAAGTAATCTTAAAGTCTACTGCACTGGCAGATATCAATTCAGGGATTCCTTATGAATAAACACAAGCTGATTAGGTTGAGAGCAAGAAGTAGCAGAATGATGTGGTAGAGATACAAACTGCTTTCGAAGCCTAAACTTGTGTCTTCCAATACACTAGCCATGTACAGCTTACCCTATAGCCCTAATAAACAGTCTGGCCTTCCCAGGCATTTGCCACAATGGGAAGTACAGATACAGAATGCCAGTGCACTGCTATTCCATCTCCCAGGCCATGGAAGACATTGTTAAGCAATCACTGAATTCTCTTGTCAGAGCTGAAAAGTAGCTGCAACTTTCTAACAATGTTTCAAGCAGTCAATAACAATTAAAAGGAGATTCGATTGAGATTATTTGCTAGTTCTGAATTAGAAATTTAAAATTTTTAATCACAGATTCCAAGATAACCACAAATTTAATAGTACAAAAGAGATGGCCTGTAACTTCTACTTGGGGTAAATAGTTTTGCTTCTAATGGGAGAGAATTTCTTGGAATAACCAAACTAAATGATGGAGTAAATACCAGGAAATAAAACATCATATATAGTTAATTATACAGATATTCTACCAAAGAATTCTACCAAAGAATTCTAAATCAAAAAACAAAAGTGAGCACAGCCAGTGTGGCTCAATGCTTGAGTGTCAACCTAGGAACCAGAGGTCATGGTCTGATTCACAGTTAGCACATGTGCCTGAGTTGTGGGCTCGATCCCTAGTAGGGAGGCGTGCAGGAGGCAGTCAATGGATGATTCTCATTAAGGATGTTTCTATCTCTCTCTCCCTTCCTCTCTGAAATCAATAAAAACATATTTAAGTAAATAAATAGATGGGAGAGCCACATTTTTAAAGTTTATTAATAATTATGCTCTGCTAAGGAAGTTTAATTAGCCGAAACTAGCTTTTTTAGGAATATAATTTATGTAATCTAAAAGAAATAAGCTATTACCAATTGATGCCAAGTCTAATCTATATATAGAGTATAAAAATTCTATCTGGACCACATCAAAACCCAATATATTTCTAAAAACTAATGCTTAATTTTGCAACCATTCTAAGCTGCCCTAAAGAAATATTTTACTTTTCTTTTTGTGGGTTTAGAGCCATCAAAAGAATATCGACCACAGCCATGCCACGATGATGACAGAGCTACGCCATGGGTTTTGCTCATGCCCCCACCCTTCCACTCTCATTAAGTTGGAGATGAGACCACTTGGGGTTGAATCAGGCTCTCACTGATTTGTAATGTAACCTTAAGTTAAAACAAACCAACCAACCCCTTTTAAGTCCCAACTCGGCATGTCAAATGGGGATGACAATCCATCTTATATGGTTTTGTGAGGACTAAATTTTCTAAGTTACTGCATGTAAAAGGCTAAATAGTGATCATATATATCACCACTACTTCTCTTCCTTGTCCGACCCTCTACTCGTCTTTTATCACACTCTGCCCTGGCCACAGCCCTTACACAGCAGACTTGGGTTTCCAATTGTTAGCAGCAAGATGCACTTAAACCTTTAGGTCCCTTAGCAGCTATTTTCTATGATTTCCAATTGTCATGGGACTGTTGTTACCTTCTTCTTCAAGAAACGTTGAGGCTTGACTTTGCTCGGTAAAGTCTGACTAAAATGACCACAGACTGAGGTTCATCATCAACACGATTAATAATTTAATGTAGTTTATAAGAGGGTCGTCCTAGCTCATAAAGGGAAGGAAGAAGCAGTAGGAATACGGCAAGAAAGCTCAGCAATTACAATGTTTCCAACCCACAAATGTATTTTAAAGCGTTTTACCTATACGGTTGAAGGGAAGAACTGAATAATTCCTGGGCCTGGGAAACAGCGGGTCCAGCACCCAAACTCAACTGGGCTTGGTGCTGCCCCTGCAGTGGTGCGTAAATAGGAATCGGGATCTGCTAAACCGAAGTGGGCTGCCATGCAAGGAGAAAACGGTATGTGAGCACCATGTATACAACTCACGACATGTGGGAAAATAAACTTAGCTATGAAGAATAAATGATTAATACCACATACCAGTTTTCTTTAAAACCAAATGTAAACATTTTCCTTTCAAGCCATTACTTGATTCTACATTGTTAAAACTTTCCCATTGTTGATGGTTAACATTTTGCTTATACATCCTAGGTAATCATGGGTTGTCCTATATTGTTAAAAGGATTATAACTTCAAAGAGTCTATTTATTTGTAGCCTAAGATAACTGCTACACCATCAAAATGAAAAACCAGAAAAACAGCTGCACGATGGAAGAAGTATGTGATGTTTACCTGAGAAAGACCTGGTTGGAAGCCTTGCTGCTGAGCCAATGATGGTGGAGCCAATCGTGCATGCTGGGTATTGAATAAATGACTGGTATCCATATAGAAAGTTGGGATTTGAGCTATAGACCATTAGAAAAAACACACAACAGTCTTAAGTATCTAAATTTCAGAATTTAGACAGGTATATGCAAATTGAAACAAGGAAACTCTAGTACATGTGAAGGTATAGAAAAATATGACACTCTTATATACTGCCAATGGGGTATAAAATAGAAAAATTTTACATATTCTACTAAAACTGAAAATGAACCCACCTGTTTAATAGCAAGTCCACTCCAATTTTAAATCTACCAACTAGAATTTAGCAAAATATTTAAAAGAACTGACATTTAATAACTGAAAGAATTTGGCACGGATTTTTAAAAAATATTTAAATTGATTTTTAGAGAAAGAGGGAGGGAGGGAAGGAAGGAGAGAGAGAGAGAGAGAGAGCGAGAGAGAGAGAGAGAGAGAGCGAGAGAGAGAGAGAGAGAGAGCGAGAGAGAGAGAGAGAGAGAGAAAGAAAACATTGATGTGAGAGTGACACTGGGCAGGGGTGGTATAGATTTTTAACAGATTTCTTTTCTATGTATTATACACACTATTTTGTTATTTGCCATTTTTATGTTTTGAAGAACTTCAATATTGTTTTTAATTTGCCATCATTATAAACAATACTGTCACGAACACCCTCATACATGTATCTCTGATTAATAAGTTTATGTATATCTTATACAAATAAACTTATTAACTATAAAACTGTTACTACAGTATGTACACATAAAATGTCCTGAGATAACTTTCTGAAAGAATTGAATTATGTCAATTTATATATTCTCACCAGCAAGGTATTTTAAGAGCCTAATACAATACCCATGATCCTGGGTATTAAAGATGCTAGTTATCAATCTTTCTATTATTCCCATATGGAAAGGTAAGAAATAGCCTATTTATTTTGAATTTAAATCATTAGAGAGTTTGAATATTATCCAAATGTTTATTTACTACGTATTTTATTCAGATTAACATTTAGTGATATTTAGTAATACAAGTTACTCCCGCTACCAATATACAAATTTTTCTTCTTTGCCATTCTTACGTTTATTCTTCCCAAAGAACTTTATTATCAATCTGTGAAGTTCCAGATAATAAACTTTTATAATATGACTGGAATAATATCAAGTGCGTAAGTTATTTTCCAAATTATTGGACACTAACTTGTCTAATATATGTTTAAGAAATAAATGCCAAGAGCCCTAGAATGCTTATCAAGGAGAGAGCAGTTAATTCTACCTGGAAATAAATTTGCAAAGCAGATAAAAGATATTTAAACTTGAAGTGTAACTAAAAAGAGAAAAAGCATTCAAAAGTCTTCGTTTTCTCAATTCCTTATATTCAAGTCTAAAAGCCTTACCTGCTGCGGACTGAGACACATAGACCTGTGGACTCTGTTGCTGCTGGGCAATGAGGGAAGGCATACAGCTTAACTGTGAAAAATGACTTGCGGAAGGCAGGCTGCTTGTCTGTAATTGTTGGGGCTTCACTTTACAAATATTAGGAGGGTCTGATGTGGTTGTAGATTTTGTACTCAGAGAAGAGGTAGTGTATGTACCAGCTCCTATATTTGGGAGAGAGATAAAATAAGGGAACAATGTAATATATTTTAAAGGGCCGCTGTTGTTCATAGTAAAGTAACTCAAGTGCTAGCCAGAAACTAGAGAACTAATGTTTATGCCCACCATGTACTTAGATACTGTATGTACTCTGGGCCAAAGGGGGATATGAAATACATCACTATCATAATGATCTCTATCTATCTATAGCTCACCCTCTCTCTCCAGCACCGACCCCCTACATACCTTAAAAAAAACACATACAACTATTAATAAATATGTGGCATTATACAACTTGAAAGGTCAATTATTTCTGTTGATCAATGAGTTCCAATGATTGCAATACTGAAGCAAATGACAACAGTGGTATTTGACTAAAGAGAGACACAATCATTTTTAGACATTTAATGAAGTTCTATATGAGAGAGCATCAGATTAAACTACCTTAGCTGTTCAACTTGAGTCTCTACCAGTACTATGACAAGATGGCCCTCATGGAAAAATTTATCCTAGTTGAGGGACTATGGAGAAACTATAGACCTGGAAAAAAGGAAGTAGCTGGGTTCCCAAGAAGTAGGAAGCTTTGCAGTCCCTTATTTCCTAAATCTTCCTACAGACTCTTCTCCAGTAGACGGGGGCCTAAGCAAGAGCCAGTAGCAGAATAAAGATGCCTTGCAAATGGGTGGTGAGGAATGTTTGCACAGAGAAAGAGATATAGTTGGAACACTCCCTTTGATTTGAATCTCTGGATTTGTCTTAATAAAGAACAATACATACTTTTGATTCTAGATCAGGGGTGGGGAACCTTTTTTCTCCCAAGGGCCATACAAAATTATCAACTTAAAAATTAGCCCGCTATATTTGATCAAACATTTAACTCACCCCTAGTGCTTTGGCAGGGTTAGACCAAATGATTTCTCAGGCCTTACACGGCCCGTGGGCTGACGTCTCCCACCCCTGTAAACTGTAGCATAACCCAACGATCAGTTGTTTTAGTACTTACAACTAGCAAAGCATGTCAGAATATTGAAAAGCAGTACTACCATCAGTAAATAAGAATCAAAGAAGGTAAATTCTTTGCCAGATATATTTTATAACTATTAGAAAGGAGTTTCTCGCTGCTTTGGAAATATGAGAATACCAGGAAGCTTGAAATAAAATTTGTTTTCAGTAAAAGAAACAGCCTTCTAATGGGGATGCTGCTGGACTCTCCTTAAAAACAAACAAAACCAAAATACTAGTGGATATTATCCACTCAAAACACAACCTGGAAATTCTCTATCCCTACCCTTCATCAGAAAATGTCAACTGAATAGATTTAGGCCAATAGCTCCTTCAAATTAGGTAGAGACAGCCAAAAATTTAAAAACTATGATTCTATGTTATTTCTAAGTTGATTCAATTAGCTGTATGAGTTAAAAAATAAGTCAAAAGGTAAATTTTGTAGAAAAACACAATACAAATTTTTTCACAAATTACTTATTAATAATTGTAACAGGGGATAGCAGGGGAGAGAGGAGGAAGAGAAGGTTCAGGAAAGTGTTTTAGTAAACCAATAAGCATTTGCTAAACTAAAACTAGGAGAGGGCAAAGAGAGGGGAGGATACGAATGGCATCATTTGATGTCTTTTATAAATAACTAGAGGGCCGATGCACGAAATCTGTGCAAGAGTATCGGCCTTCCTTCCCCCGACATCGGCTTCCCTCCAGCCACGATAGGCACCCGGGACCCGGGCTTCCCTGGCAGCTCCGGAAGGTTGTCCGAAAAGACATCATTATGCTTTTATTATTATAGATACTTTTGGGGGATAGTTAATAGAAAAGTGATCCTAAGAAATTTGAATTGAAGATACTGAAAGGAAAGGTACAAAGACTTCCACCTGACAGTGACGTTGTGGGGGTGACCGAGGCAACAGGGATCTGAGGCATGGACGCACTGGAGAAGGAGTTGTAATTAGCACTGCTCGGGCCACTGGCACTGCTGCTGACACCACTGGCAATTGGAGGAGCTGTGGAAGTTACTGGAGATCCCTTTTCACGCACATTTGGAGAATTCTCCCAAGCCTTCCGTGCAGACTCCATCTGCAATGAAATGGGAAAAAAATCACTATGCGAACATGGACTACACATATATACATAAATATACTCACGTGTGTACATATATAAATTCCAAATATCTTTCAGAAACCCCAAAGTAAAAAATGAAGACCCTAGAGTTTGTTTTTTTAAAGATAATTTTTAAATTCTGACACCTAATCAATTTTTTTCAGGTTGGCCACCCCACTGGGCGATGCTACTATTTTTTATTTTTATTGATTCCAGAAAGGAACGGAGTGGGAGGGATAGATAGAAACATCAATGATGAGAGAGAATCATTGATTGGCTGCCTCCTGCACGTCCCCTACTGGGGATCGAGCCCGCAACCTGGGCAGGTACCCTTGATCAGAATCGAACCCAGGACCCTCTGTCTGCAGGCCAACGCTCTCCACTGAGCCAAACCGGCTAGGGCGACCCTAGAGTTTTCAAACCTTTCATTTTCCCCTTTATCTTTGCTCTTTTACTTAACCCTTTGAGTGCCAACTAATATCCTAGGAACTGTGCTAAAATTGCCAAGGCATTTTTGCTGATTTTACAGCAGTTTAAGGAAAAAAATTATGAATTGCAAGTAAATGAAGTTACATATTCAATATCTTCCACAAAATCATCATTTTCACAGCAAGAATTGACATATTTAGCAATATAACCATCACTAATAAAAGCAGACTTAGAACTAGACACTGCAGGAGGAGCGCGATCGCTCTCCCCGGCACTCTATGGGTTAAATTGGGAGGCAGGGGACTTTAATGATGTCTCCACAGAGAGCTGTGGATGGCTCTGGCAATCAGGCCAGTGAAATATAAAGTCACAGCCCCTGTATCATCTAGATCCGAGTCCTTACCCTGACCAGCAACTAAGGAAACAGAAATACCAGGCCCCTGCAGGAGTGCTTTAAGGCTCTGACTCTAGTAGGAAAGGCACCAACCCCCCCCTCCCATCAATACC